GCCCATTGCTCTCCTGATGTCTATAGAAAACACACCACCTACTAGGTTGACCACCCAGGCTGTGTTCTCATCGGACCTTAACCTAGAAGTGATTCTCAAGATGGAATTCCTAATGACAGAGGAGCTGTGGTCACTAGTGGCCAAATTGTTCCAACATTTAAGAATATATTTTTTTATTGATTTCAGAGAGGAAGGGAGAGGTAGAAAGAGAGAGAGAAACATCAATGATGAGAGAGAATTATTGATTGACTGCCTCCTGCACTCTCCCTAGTGGGGATCCAGCCTGCAACCCGGGCTTGTGCCCTGACCGGGAATTGAACCATGAACTCCTGGTTCCCATAGGTTGACGCTCAACCACTGAACCACGCTGGCCTAGCTGTTCCAACATTTTTAACACCCAGGTGATGACTCCTGAGAAGAGGGGACAAAATCAGGAAGAAGCTCTATTTTTTATTTGGAAGTTGTTAGAAAAACGACTTGATAACGTGCATTAGATCATAAAGAAGCAAGAACTGCCACAGGAGACACCAATAAGAAGATATACATTTCTCAGTTTACACCAGGAGTTAAAAGAAAATCATTGCCTACTTATTGGTTCATTTTGTAAATTGAGATCAATGAAATTCTCTGAACAACAGCATGAAATCAATCGTAAAATAGCATATAATTCAAGGCCAGTATTGTAAATTATAGTTTGCTCAACAGTAATCGGTGAGGTTTCCATGCGCTGGGGTGCATTTCCGTGTAACAGGTCTCAGGATGATGCCTGTGGATCCATTTCTGATGCATATCAGAGCGATCTGTTCTTCCCTGTCCACAGCTTTCTCTGTTTGATCTTATGCAAACGATGCAATCAGGCAAATGGAAAACAAGATGGTTTTGTTAAGGGGCTTGATGAACAGTGGCCATATGTTTTCAGGGTTCCCCCACCCTCCAGTGGCTGTGCTCAGATTTGTGTACATACCTGCAATTGTTTGAATCCATTGATCCATCACCTTGCCCTTGAAGGGCCTGATCACATCTGTGGAGACATATTACCAAATCAGTTGCAGTTCGGCAGGGAGGAGAGAGTTACTGTTATATTCCTCTTGGCTTTCAACATGAAATTGATGGTTTTGCTTAGGGCTTTACCCCCAAAGAATGCCTTAGTCCTGCTTCCCTTGGAACCACGTTTTCACTTTCTCAAATTAACTCTGTAAAAAAGAATCACCCGTGTCAATTGTCCCTTTTTCACCTAGCTACCCTCCTCCCCCAACCTGGAAACTCCTCTTTTCTCGCCAAGTTTTCCTTTCTCTCTTCCTCACCATCGCCTCCCACTTCACTAAGGACTTCCCAGTCCAGCCACCTGTGCAGCTCCCTCTAACATGTATCATGTGAGGCTCCATCCCCTTCTTTTTTTCATGCCTCATTATTCAAAGGACACGAGTGACACTTCATCTTCTTATGGAAATACATGAAGAATAATCCACTTCGGGGTGGACAGCGCAGGCATAAAAATGACTCCGAAGTCAAAAAAGCTATTTAATCAAAGACTGGCTTTCTTTGTACTGTTGAGTTTATAGTTTTCAAATTTTCCCAATCCAAAGGAAATCCTTAGTTCCTATTGTATCAGATTTCCCATAAGGATTTTTAAAAAATCCAATGGGAAGAACATTTTAATTCTGCATAGGATTGGAAATCTTGGGTGTGGTTATCAAAAGCATGAATAAAGGGCAGAATGAGCATGAAGCATTATAAATCTCAGTCAAAAAGACATAGCTATGTCTGTATTTCTGTGAATATCTCTATTTTTAATTCTGTAACTGGACTTTATATATCTGATGTTACTCCTACAGTCCCTCTCGGAGTCTCTCCTATCCCTGGAAGGTGTGAAAGCTTGCAGGGTCATAGACACTTTTCGGTATTTGGGTGTGGCCATCCATGATGCTTCATTCTCTGTGCAAAGGGGTCACTACTGAGATCCCCCCTCAGATCCCAGAGGTCTCGTCATTGCTTCCGTATCACACTTGGGGAACTGAACTCTCAGCAGGGCTTTCTGTGGCCCCGTCCTGCTGCACACACCAAGGTTTGTTTGTTTTTTCTGGGTCTGTCTGCTGCCTGGGACTCTACCTTAGAACCAGGTGTCACAACCCCTCATCCCAAGATCCTGCACATCCCTGTCTCCTTCCTTCTTCCCTCCTTCATTCCATCTGGGGTATTTGATGTGGAGGAAGGGAGGGTCTGTGCCCTTTTTGTTTCTCCTGATCGTTAAATCTAAACCCCCAGTGCCCTCCATTTGGCTGTGTAGAGGGGTCCTCTTGTTCTTTCTGCTTTCTGACCAGTCCCATTCTGTTTCACATGTAGTACCTATTTTATAGGTAAATGCAGACTTTATAATTTAATGGATGGACATTTAGAGGAGACTGTAACTGAGGGAAAGGCATGGGGGTAGGGGTAGGGAAGAGCAGAAGGGGACAACCATATTGATATTTATGACAACCATATTGATCTTGACCGCATGGCACGGATACCAAATATTATAGAGGTTCAGAAAGAGCTGGACCCGAGGACTTCAATTTGAGACCTCACTTGGTTCCTCCAGATTTGCCCAAACCATGGAAAGAGAAAAAAATAAAGAGGTCAGTACAACGAAGGAAGAAACAAGGGAATAAGACAGTTATCGCCAAGGAGTGCCAAGGGTCAAGCTCATATTGGAAAGTGTAAAAGTGTAGTGGACTCTTCAGCGTGTTCAGCAATGTCTCTCAGTCACACCACACAGATATGAGAAGATGATATGGGAAGACTTATCCCAGGCTAGGGACTGAGGCAGCAGATACAGAAGAGCCTGGAGGAGGTGACATACCTTAGAGACCTGGAGAACATGACTTTGAAATGAGTCATCGAAGATCATGGCAAGGGAAATGCAGATGTTGTGAATACTCTGGAAAGGAGAGACTGTGGTAGCAAAGGAGGGACTACATTAACATGACAAATGGAAGGGGTGGGAGGTCACCAGTCTGTGGTCAGACGGTAGATTTTAAATTAAGAGGCTAGGAAATGGCTCTGGAGATGATCAGGTAGTGGGTCTAACTGTGCCAAATGGTGAAAAATGCAGTAGGATGAAGGGCATTCCATGTGAGGAAGTGGAAGTGGAGCCAGATTCGGGGGTGAGTCATTACTGAGGATGTTGGAGTTGCCAAAAAGGTGAAAAAATAGAAAAGGGAAAGGGGAATGATTGAAAAGGAAACCAAGCCAAAGTGTGACATAAGAGGTGTAACAGTGCCAACTGGGTCCTGGGCATACATTTTCTGAAATATTGAATTGATATTGATAAACAGTGGTTGTGTTTTCTCCATCTGTGATATACATGTATACCTTAGAAAATTTGAAAATATATGTGATAAAAAATAAGTCATCCATGTGTCCTCACTCAGAGAGAACCACTGTTCACATTTTGGCGTACCTTTATCTCCTGTTTGTTTTTTGGTCAATCCTGCCCCGAGGATATTTTTTCCATTGATTTTTATTTATTTATTTATTTTTAAATAAATATATTTTATTGATTTTTTACAGAGTGGAAGGGAGAGAGATAGAGAGTTAGAAACATCGATGAGAGAGAAACATCAATCAACTGCCTCCTGCACATCTCCTACTGGGGATGTGCCCGCAACCCAGGTACATGCCCTTGACCGGAATCGAACCTGGGACCTTTCAGTCCGAAGGCCGACACTCTATCCACTGAGCAAACCGGTTTTGGCTCCATTGATTATTAAAGAGAGTGTAAGGGAGGGAGGGAGAGGAGAGAGAGAGAGAAATATCTATGTGAGAGAGAGAGAGAGAGACATGAATTGGTTACTTCCCAAACACTCCCTAATCGGGGCTGGGGATCAAACCTGCAACCCAGGTACGTACAATCCAGCCAAGTGCATGCCCTCGATGAGAAGTTGAACCTGCGACCCTATGTATGCATGCGCCGATGTTCTAACCACTGAGCACATGGGTCAGGGCTCCTGTTGTGTGTGTGTGTGTGTGTGTGTGTGTGTGTGTGTTTTATGAAGCATTTGTGTTTGAGAATTCTTTTTAGGAATTCAGACAAGCACAGAAATATGACTGATGTTTACACCTTGGTAGAGTTGACAGGACTTTGGTGAGATTCATTCAATGAAATAATTGAGTCCCTGTGGAAAGGGGGTACTGAGGATATTTTAGAAATGAATTAGTAAATTAGAGATTAGTTTATTCTAACACATGTATTCAAAACCTCTCATGTGTTAGGCATTGTGCTAGATACAGAGGATGCAAAATGAATGTAGCACTGTTCCTGCCCTTACAGAGTTCACTCTGAGGGCTCGAATAAACAGAATCAAAGTCATGGAAACAGATCCTGATGTCGGCATTGTGAGCGCTGTGCTGAAGGTGTGTGCAGACACCTTGGGAGGAAAGGAGAGGATAATAGCTCCATCTTGTGCCAGAGGTCACGACAGGGTGTGTCAGGGGCAGCTGGAGAAAGAAACAGGCATTGGCACTGAGATTGGGCAGCTTGAAGGTCAAATAATAGTTGCTCAGGTGGAGAAGAAAAGAAAGGAATTCAGCCGAAGGAATGACAAGTTCAAAGTCATTGTTACAAGCTCTGTATTTGAATTTCAAAAGCAACTCCTGTTGTCTTCAAATATGTTTTGAAAATTATTTAAATGTCTCATTTATTTTTTAACAGAGTCACTGAACTAAGGCTGAACTCAGAAACCGATTTACCTGGCCAGGGACATTCAAAAAAACAGTCAAATTGTTCAAATGAAAAGTGAAGCCAAGAGTTTGACTGACACCTGTCTATTTTAAAATAACCATCACATATTTAAGGGGTGAAACAGACTCTGTTTTATTGGCATCAATTTTGATGGCTATCGCTTCTTATTTGAAGCTTTCCTTTCGCCGTTCTAAGAAGTAGGGACGTAGAGGAGGAGGGAGATCTTGGGAATAAAAGGTCTGATTGCAAATGCGTTCTTGTTTCCTGCACCCCCTAGATTTAGCAGTGTTCTCGCCCCACCAGTTTCTGCTGTGTGCCTGCACACATGTGGGATGCGCGAACAGCTCCCTGGTGATGCTGTACACGGCACAGCTGCCACCGGAACACGTGAGTCCTCCGATTCTGACCGTCCTGGATTCCAGAACTATAAACGCACAGTGAGTAGCAATATTGTTTGTCACACGGGGGTTCATGCAGGAATCCCAGTGCGTTCAATCAAGGGAAGGGCTTGTGACATAGAATTAATTTCATTGTGATTAAATGCATAGGAGTGATTAGTTCAGTGGTGCTGGGAACCTTTGATTATCCCTTGCCAAGTTAATTTCCATTTTGTCTTTATGCAATCAGGCCGAGCTACATGTGTACACAGCTTCTGTGCAAACTTCACGGAGGGGGAAACTGACCACTTACCCGGCCGCCTTGAGCTTTTTAGATGAGAGGCATTGTTTGTGCTCCTTTGGAGTTAGAGAATATAAATGTACATTTGCTTTTTGAGGATAAACTGGGACCTTTATGTTCCTTTGCAGTTGAAGTCAGAAAGGAACTTTCATCTATAGGCAGGTTCAGATTAGTTTTGATATTAGTGGTTTTTATCCTTTTCCTAATACAAGAGGTACAGGGTATATTGCAGTACTGAGTTAAACCTCTCTTACCACCAGTTACTACTGTTTACATTCATCTCTCTCGGTCTCAATTTCTCATCTATGAAAGAAGAGCTTGGACTCAATAAATTAAGTTATTCATTCAAGCTGAAAAACATGACTCATATCCCATGGTCCCTAATTTGAACACTCCCAGTGGCTCTCCTTTTTTCCCTAAGCCAATCCCACAGTATTTACCCCAAAGATGTCCCACTACTGTAACTACTTCTCAATTTACCAATTTCTGTCTGTTCCATGACTTGCCCAGTTTGTGCTCACGGACACATTGGAACTCTTGTGTGGAATGCGCTCTACTCTTCCTACCAAATCCAACCCGTCTATGAAGGACTCAGTCATGCCTCTAAGTCACATGTCACCTCATTCGAGAAGTCTTACTGCTCTATTTCAGCCCTTTCAATCCACAACTTCCCTGTATTCTATAATTGCTTATTAACCGTTCCATCAATGCCCTTTTCAAGACCGTTATGTTATTCTTTCTCCTCTCATTTCTCATAAGTGCTCCGATGCTTTACTTATCCCAGATTTTGTTCTATGGCTTAAGTTCAAAATCAAATGCTCACCTGAGCAGTGTTGCTTAATTGGTTGAACACTGACCCGTGAACCAGGAGGTCACAGTTTGATTCCCGGTCAAGGCACATGCCCTGGTTGCAGGCTCAATCCCCACAGGGGTGCATGTAGGAGGCAGCCGATTGATGATTCTCTCTCATCATTGATGTTTCTCTCTCCCTCTCCCTTCCCATCTCTCTAAAAATGCAGTAAAAACATTTTAAAATATTTAAAAGTCAAATACTCAGACATTTTCGTATTGTTATCTAATCTATAATAATAAAAGTGTAACATGCTAATTAGGCCAGACGACCTTCCAGATGAAGCCGGGACTGTGAGGGAAGCCCGGGTCCCAGGTGCCTGCTGGCAGCCAGAGGAAAGCCCAGGTGCCTGCTGGCAGCCAGAGGAAAGCCCAGGTGCCAGAGGGAAGCTGGTGCCGGCAGCCGGGGGAAGGAAGGCCTAGTCTTGCACGGATTTTGTGCATTGGGCCTCTAGTTAAAATTATAAGTAACTAGAGAACAGGCACTATGCCTTATTTTCTTTATACCATTCAGAAGACATTTAATAACTACTCGGTTGATGTTTTTTAAGTGAATCACGTTGAGTGTTCAGTGTGTATTTTTACTGTGGCCTGAGTCCAGGTTCACACCTACCTGTCCTATAAAGGCTGTGCCCACCAGGCATGACTTGAAGGAACGAGGATAATAATGCTGTACTTTTCCATTCCTAGGTGGAAACAACCAAGAAAACTAAACGGAATTCTGGAGCGCTATCTATTATATATTTCAAACCACATGCATGACTTTACCACGTGGGATGTCGTCTATAACAGTACAGAGCTTTTTCAGGACCACACGCTACAGTACCTGTTGCCTGGCACCAAATATCTCCTCAAGCTGGGAGTAAGTTTGCTTTTCTCTATCATTTTCTCTGTCCCCTTCCTGTCTCCTGCTTCCCTTCCCTTTATCCCATCTTCTCTCCCTCCCTCACTTAAGAAAACAAGAACAAACCCAAAAAACCCTCATGTATCGCTATTCCCACTGAAAACTCACTTCACATCTTAAATGTGAATGATGTTAATCTAATACACTTATTTCATATTATGCAAAATAATAGAATAACAATCTAAGTCAGTAGGTTTCCCAAATCTAATTTAGGATTATCAGAAATTACTTCTTTTTTATTATTTGCAGAACGTCCTAATTGTTGAGGGCTTTTTCCAAAATGCTTGGATTAATAGGGTTATTTTCCCATGGAGCTTGTATTCATTTGAAAAACAATGCACAGTATGAAAATATAGGTCTTATTTTTTTAATGAAGGTTTCAATGACCCCCCCCCCCGATATTCTTGATCATTATTATATTCCGGTTTATATCACACTTCTATCTCAAAAGGACCATCACTTAATAAAACCCTAGAACCAACATAGTTTACAGATTTCTGTAGACAGACAATAGTCTTCTTTTTTCTCATGCAAAATTGCACTTTTATGCGAAGGTCTTTTAAAAGACCTTGATATTACTGTGGAATTTATTCCTTTTGTTTTTTGATGAAATATAATCTTTTTTAAGTTTAATAGCACATCTGAAAATAACTGAATATAAACATGAGATTGTCCCTATTTGTTTTAAACGCACTCTTCATTTTATAGCAATACCTATATAAGGATATTTGCTTTGATAAATGCCATAGAAAATATTCCGCTCTTGATTATGAATAAATTTACATTTATGTAGACACTGTGTATGCATTCATTTTACTTAACACGCTCTTGAATGCTCTAAATATTATACCAAGAGAGAATAAACTACATTCAACCATTGCTAAGTGTCTGACCTGACACCATAAAACAAGGGCAATCAGACAGTGTTCCAAACGCTGTCCGCACTGGCTCTCGGTGCCTAGGTGTTCCGCACGCCAGGCGGGCTCATGACCTGCAGCCTTCGTTACTTACTTTATCACCCAAGATGTTAGAAGTGTATTAGCTCAATTTTCAGAGGCAAGTCCACAAGTCCACACTATTTTCAAAAAAAGTAGTCATATCAGAATCTGGAAAATTCTCTACTGCTTAAAAGCAACCAGAATTAATTGTTACTCTCTTGGTTTTTATCAGGAGACAAATGACACAAAACAGGTCTACTCTCGGGACTGTGCAATCCATGGAAACCCACCTGAGTCTCTCTATGTTTTATGAATCTGTGGTACCTTGAAAAATGAACAACACTGGATTGTGATTCCACTCCCCTGAGTTTCCATTCCGGTTTTGCCACCAACTGTGTGGCCTAAGGCAAATTTACTTAACTGCACTGAGTTCAGTGTTTTTCAAGCCTAGAATTAGGATTTTTGAACTAAATGCTTTTTTAATGTCTTTTTAAGTCCCAAAATACTATGATGCTAAAAAGGTGACCCCCAAACAATATTCTGTGGAGTCAGACGACATCTATCAGCCCCTGAATAATGTTGTTGCAAGATTGTAAAGATGTGAATGTCTTGCCCTAACTCTTTTAGGGAAATACATTTGCTCATGTTATTTTTTATTTCACCATATTTATTAGGGCAGGAAATACACTGATATATGTTCAGGAAGTATACTCAACTTAAAGGGTTTTTTACTCAACTCTGTTAACCAGTAAATGAAATGAACCAGAATATTTAGGTTTATCTTGGTTAATTGAGGGATTATCGTATATTTCACAGTTTCAACAACATAACTGGCTTTCAAGGTGGTTAGGTTAGTAGATGAAGATCCATCCTCTCAGCCAAGTGGAGCGGCCTTTATAGATCATCTTAACATGTTGACTATGTGTTGGAAAACAACCTGCCAACAGCGCCTTTAAGCAGGCATTTTAGGCAAATGCATGGGAGTGGGAACCGCTTTGATTCACTCTAGACTCAGAGCATATATGTTACTTCACGTGGTTTTATTTGATTTTTCTTGTTGGCTGGATTATAAACTTGAACGCTAGAGACTGTGTCTTTCAAAATTCTGGCTGCAGAGTCAAGCACAGTGCCTGATGGAATCTGAAAGCTCAGCAAATGATTCTTGAATGAATGAACACTAAGAATATTGATTTCATAAAGAATCTGAGGCTTCTGACATACATTAATTTGCTGTAAAATGTCAGAGTCAGGGACTATGTGATTTCAAACGTGTTCTTTCCACTAGAAGAAACGGCACACTGTGTTGTTACACTCGACAAATGGTGTCGTGAAGTGTGGTCGTCCCTGATAAACACAGTGCCAGCAATTAAATAAAGAAGATAGTGAGACACACAAGTATCCAGATACATATGGTCTGGTAATTTTCATATCACTGCTAGACATTTGCCTCTTGATGAACGTTGAGTGTTAAATACATTTCCTGGAAGGATTATTGGAAGTGACTCTTGGAAATGACCTTCTTAAAGGTCATTTATAGGTAATCTGGCCTTGTTCTCTTGCTTAATATATGCCACATTATTAACATCCTCAGAGCCTACTTCTCTGAAAGCAGGTGAAAGAGAAGGCTAGTTTTGGATGTTCCTTATAGGCATGATTTCAAAAACAGTTGAAGTACTTTCATTAGTCACGCATTTCATTAGACCAAAAGGGAATTCCCTATTTGGTCAGAAGTGACTCATCATTTCTGGGTAGTCTCATGACTTTGCATTTTGTTAAATGGCTATAACTAATGAATGCTATAGGAGATGGATAGAGACCACCTTATTTTAATGGCTCAGAGGCTTTCGAAGACTTTGCCATTTCATAAAGGCATCGTTAGTCAACCCCACTATTTTGTTTAGATTTTCCAAACCAGAATTGTAATGAGCATTCAGTTGAATTGAACGCAGTGGCCTCTGGTGCTGGCAGGTCAAGCCAGATGCTGATTGGTTCAATTTCATTTAGATGATATCAGTTATTAGATCATTTGGGACGCAACCTTAAGAGCATGTATTCCCCTATAGATGGCAATGAGCTATTGTACTGCTCTCTCCATACCTCCAAATGCCTGCAAAAACAATGTGGAAAACACCCCAAAGTATTGTGCAGGTAATTCTGTCATTTCAGCAGCCCCTGGATAAATTCTGCTTCATTCATTTACAAGAAAAATTACCTCAGGAACTCTTTAGACCCTTCTCTGTCGCATTACTTTTTCATGGATCTTCCCCGACAACCTAAAGAACAGTCCTCCCAAACCAGAGGCTGTCTTTGTTTATCCCAGGAGGCATCCTAAAATTCTCAAAACCAAGTACATTTTCATTCACATTCTGTTTTTAAAAATATATGGTTTGATGTCCCATAGAACAGTATTTCTCTGGGGAGAGTTCACAGGGAAAAGCCTGAGGTTCTGGTTGAGAAAAAGAAAAGTGACAAGTCGCCAGTCAGAATTAAACCCCATTGAGGTAGGAGTTTAACAATAAGATGCTGCAACCTTTTCCCCCTCCCAAGGCCAAACTCTGGGAAAAGATGTATTTCTCTCCTTCTGGGGACGGGAAAGAAGGCTCTTTGGGCCACTTTCCCATGATGACACCACTGTCCCCCATGGCTTCCTTTCTGGCCACATTTTCTGGTGGATGTTCAGCACGTTGGAAATGTTCTAACCTTTCTTTTTTCAATGTTCAGATTGTTCTTGGGCTCACGGTGACATATCCTAGAGTTTTGAGTCAGGGTTTGTCCACAATGTCAATTGATCCTTTTTTATTTGCAAAGAAATGTTCTCGGGAGGAGGATGGCTTCTCTCTTCCATACATATGCACAGGCCACAGCTGAGAATTAGAGGCGGCCCACCGAGGTTAATTAGGTCCCCAATCTCAATGCAATGCCATGCCCAGGCCACCGTTTAACCCATCTGAACCTGGCTGATGCTGCTGAGAAATTATCCTGAAAACCTGGGCTCACTGTCGTATTCTTCCCATAGCACGCGAGGTCGATCTCCATGTCGATTGACCATATATTGTCATTCATACCTGTAATAAATAGCAATAATTTTGCAAATATTAAATTTCACTATAAAAAAAAATCTCTAAAAATCAGTCAGCTTTCTCCTGTCTTCAGAGACAAGGATATTGTCTGCTTTCAGTACCAAAGGGCATTCCCTCATTATCAAACTGAAAAGCAGGGACAGGCCCAAAGGATAAAGGCGTATTTTAACTGTTTATATTAGTAATATCTACCTTTCATGAAAGGGACGCAGTGTCTGCTTTTTACATCGTCCTATGATTTTTTTTTCTACCTTTTCTTATTGATTTAGTAAAATTTAGTGCATTTTTGAAAGATCCTTAAATTTCACTGTGCAAATTACAGTTGTAACCTAGAGAGACGCTGAACAAAGCTTAAGTGCAGTTTTCAAATATCTGTGTTATTTATGTGAAGATGTATTTGCTAATATTTGCCAGCAAATTTAGTCTAGAAATCTCTGTGTCTGTCTCAATTTCCTGCAGAAATGCTTGTCCAGCAACTTAGGGAGTGAAGATATTTACCTAATACTTTTAAATGTTTATTTGGGGATGATTTTGAATTTATTATGAAAGTGCACAAAGAAGTGCCCTTCCATTTCTAGCATTAGTGATACCTTATTAGGTAGCGGGGAGGGGCAGCTGTGACCCTTTTAAATTTGTCAGCTGGTTAACAAAGCCCATTTCCTCGGGCGCATAAGTAGTGATTTGACCCTTTAAGCCAGTAAGCTGCCACCCAACAGTGCCTTTGCTATTGATTTATGAGAAATATTGTTGTATTCGATTACACGGTTCTACTTTAAATATATTGGTCACACTGTACTAGTGTGGAACACATTTATTTTGTGGGATAAAGAAAGCTTTATTTCAAAGAATCCAAAACTCTTAGTACGAATTACTTTTCTTCAATGTCCATCTAAACTTTTGGGACGCAGGGTGAAATGTGCTTTTTCCCCCCGATTTCCATTCAGGCTTGCACCGGGGGCGGGTGCACAGTGAGTGAGCCCAGTGAGGCCCGGACGGAGGATTGCTCACCAGAAGGCGTGCCCGCCCCCAGAGCGCACTCCTATTCACCCCACTCCTTCAACATCTCCTGGACGGAGCCTGAGCATCCGAACGGTAAGTGAACTCTCTTAGCCTGGAGTCAAAAAGATGATTAGCAAAGGTAAATTAATAGTCTCAATGGCAGCGTATATGTGGAGCTTAATTTTTAATGATCATTTTAGCACATAAAATACCTGAGATAGCATCTTGGCCTGTAGTTGCGAGATTGTGGTTTTTAGGCTAACACACAATTTTAGTGGCTCAAAAGTGCTCCCTTTTGATAGTTCCTGTGTACTGCATCTTCTTGTTAGCATGTTCCTGGAGAGGTGAGGAAAACCAGCGAGGATTCCGAAAGAAGGCCCCTGTGACATTGCCATTGTATTTGCAATGACTTACTGTTTTCAACAGTCATTCATTCTTTCTGGGAGAGAGAAGCAGAGGTGGAAAGTTCATGCACACATTGTATTTCAAAATGCTTTTGATTCAATAAGTTTATCCTAACAGAGATCACTAGGACCTCCATATTTTTAATATATTCATAAATATTTCATTGTGCTGTTTTTAAACAATGCATACATTAAATATACATATACATTTACACTTGCCTCAGGTGAAAAAGATTGTATATGTTTCTAAGTGGTATACACATCTTTGAATAATTCAGAGAGTTGTTAGCCAGTTAAAGTTTACTAGAATAAAATCTTATTATAAAGAGTTTTTGTAATAACTTGGGGTGGAAATTGCTTGATTCATTGACGGACAATGTTTTCATGTTTCACACAGCATAGGGTCATTGTTCCAAACTGCAGAAGCTTATATATAACATCAAATTTTGTTCCTCCTTAAGATAAATATCAAGAAGACTTTTAATCTCATAGAAACTGTTTTAAGTAACTCATTACTGAACATTGAAATGGCCTCATTTAGCCTAGACAGAAAGAATGAAAGAAAAAAATTGCAGTTTTATTAGTTTGTCTTATGTTTATTATGATATTAATTATTCCCGTCATCTCGTTTTAATTAAACTTTTGGCAAATGCAGTAGATATATTGGAGGTGGTGGAGAGAGTTTTAATACTCAAAGTGAGTGATTATCTCTGCTATTGAAGTTATTCCTGCACTATTACAAATTTTCTAATAAAAATAAATGAATGTTCATTTGATACTTACATTAAACAGTGAAAAATCTTGTCATACTTCATGCTCCACAAAGAAGTCTAGTCCATGGGTGGCAATAGATATATTAATGATTTATTCCAGTTGGAATGTTGTTAAATGCTATGATATGATTTTCCCGGTGAACACTTTCTTTCATGCCGGTTGCTAGTTGCAGCTGGCTTTCCGGCTGCACTTGGAATCATAGGTTGAATAGAGAAATACTTTCTGTGTTTCAGGAAATCTTTACGTACTGTTTTGTGCATTTAAAAGCATTTTTCAAATGTATTCATTGAACAATAAGAATTTGGGGGATTTGGGTGATGTGTGTTAACACTTCTATCATATTCTATGGTCCAGTGTTTCATCTTATCAGAATCTTACAATGTTTCTTGTGGGAAAATGATTAGATGTTTGAAGAGTAATCGTTTCATTACACTATTTTTTTTCTTCTCTTCTCTACTTCTCTCCTTACTTTCCCCAAATTTACCAGCATTTGCGGTCTACTGTCCATTGCCTCGAGAGGGGTGATCTGATTATTGGAAACATCCCATTGACTTAGTCATCAAAATTCGGGTGACTATTTAATACACCCCTGTATGCCCTATCTCTAGGCTCTAACTTAGGTTGAGACCTCTCCTCTTAGCACCCCTTCTGGAGACCTCCACACGGATCTCAGTTACACTTTACACTCGGAATATCCAGCGTGTTCTCTGCCTCTCTGTCTGCCCTCTCTCCTGTGTTCCCTCGCTCACTGATAAGTGCCACTCATGCACACCAGCCAGGAGCCTGGGTGGCACTCGTGACTTGCTCACCCCGATTTCTCTTGCCACACTCCCCCCAACTGCGTCTTCTCATTAAGGCGCTAGTGTTTATCACTCAGAAGACATCAAGAGCCTCCACATGCCATGCTAAAATCCAAATTTGTCCATTCGGAGTATATTTCTGGTAACTTACTAGGTGTCATCATTCTGATGACCTACTAGGTGTCGTTGTTCTGATGACACCACCTCCAATTTGCCGAAGCCTTTCTCTTAGAGTCTCGGGGGGAAATATCCATGTAAATAAATAATCACAAGGTGAGAGGCACAGGAGGTGCCAAAGTGTGAGAGAAGAAGCTTCCTGAAGAGGCCCACAGGGTGTGGCTGTGCCATCCCTCGGGGTCCTCATTCAGACGTAGTGGGTCCAGATAGGCACCTGCACTTAGAAGGTCATACCCTGTCACAGGTGCTGCTCGCCTGGGTTGGTATGTTCCAGCCTCCAAAATCTTGACTCTGTTAGTCAGTTATAGACATAAATAGATTATTCCACCAGGGCTTTATACACATGAAGAGACTCATTGAGAAACAGTAAACCCACTTTCTGTAATAAGTGTGTATATTTTCAAATGCGTGCCTATAGATGACAAATATATGGAAGGCGTGGAAGGTTCCCATGCAAATGCCCAGTTCTTGTCTGTGGAGCAGTTGGTGGCCTCAGCCAGTGTGGCTTAGGGAGCGAGCTCTGTGCTTTTCATTACAGATTCCCATTTTACATGCTCAGCTCCTATCGAGAACGTCCAGTGATAAATCTTACCGAACAATATGGTGGAAACATCTTTCCATGGCAGCTGAGTGGTGCTCCACTTCATCCTTTGAAAGGCATATGGAATCCCAGTGGCTGAGCCACAGCCCACGTGGCCCATCTTTTATTGGTGGGCACCTAAGCGTCCATGAATCTGCTATTATAAATAATGCTACTTGCGGGTAATTGCCTTGGTGTGCCAAGAAGAATTGAAGCACCGATTCCTTATCATTTGATTGACACCTAGGGCTTTGCTTTCCTTCGGATAAGCCCTGCTTCATTCTCCTCCCCGGCTCCCCACACCTGCAGAAAGGTGGTGCAGGCTCCGGCTCTGTGTCCAACCAGAGCCCTTGGTCCCAGAGTCCCTCTGGCGAAGGTGTTCTTTGCAGGCTGTGATTTGGGGCAGGACCTTGAAAACCTCTGAAAAGAGCTCCTTTTAGACCCGAGGTGGACGAGGGCTCCTCATTTTGTAGGGCCCCGACCCTTCCTGTGTGATGCCACTAGCCATCGATGAAAAGTAGCACAAGGAATGGCTGTCTAATTCGTTGGCGACCTGTCTTGTGAGGATTGCAACTGCATAATTAGAATTACGTTTCCAGAGCTTCCAACGTCTCAGGAGCCATGTTCCCTTCCAGAAGCTTAGGCCTTAGTGTCTGGAAATAAATGTTTTGCTCGCACTTGAAGTCTGCCTTGCTAAAGTCAGCATAATACCTGACGACAGCAAACTTACACGTCGTTAACATTTAGTGACATTCAGTGAATTAAAAAACACTAAAATACAGAATAGGAAATTCTTATTCTTTATGAATACTTACAATTCCTTGTCACTATCCACTTTCTTTACCTGAGAACATTTCCCTAAAACAGTTTCCCTGTTACCTGTGACCCACATGAGGGCAGGGGCCCTGTGTCCCTAGTTCACCATTGTAGTCACAGCACTTGGCGGGGTACGAGGTATGAGTAGATGGGCATTAAGCAGCTGTTGACTGCATTAATGTTTGCTGAAGATAGAGACAATAATAAAATGGTAATTGTGTTGATGGGAGGCATATACATACGCAATCATACAGAACACACACATGCACATTTACAGCGTGTCTCCTAGTTGTGTAACGGAGGTGGGATGATCTCGGAGGTGGGGGGAAGGCATCTCCCCCTGGCCTGTTGAAGGCTCTATGTGTGCTCTGGGAGATCCAGGCCCCTGGCATCACCTGCTCCTCGGTACATAGTCCAAAGAGAGGCCACGCGTGAGGCCAGGGCTCTTGGCTGCCTCCATGTGAAAGGGTATGCCGTTGCCACCATCAGGATTAGGTGATGCGAAGATGGGCCTGGTAAGAGGACAAGAGAGTTGGGCCCCATTAGGTTAGACAAGGGTCCTGGGGTCTCCAGCAAAGAAAGAACAGTCGAGGAACCCTCGGAAGCATTGCCATAAGCTAGCCTTCCGGGTTGGGCCAGCTTTGTGAGAATGAATTCATGGCTGTGTATCAAGATAGTGGCAGTGATATCAATAAGAACAGAAAAGTTTCAGGAAGTTAATTATTTTTGCAGACTTAAACATAGTACCGTGAAGACGACTAATTTTATTAAAAGAATTAGTTCCATTTTTTGAGTATACATATTAGTTCAGAGAAACCAGTGGACTATAGGTCTTTTTATACACATCCAATAGATGCTGTCCTGAGGACATTGAGGGTGATAGAGAAGGTAAACACATTTTTATAATATATGAACATGAAGGTATGCATGTAAATATTAAGTACTCCCCTCATGCAAAGAAAGGATTTGATTTCCTGTTAACACAAATAATAATAGTAATAGCAATAACAATAGCTACCATTTATAGCTATGTGCCAGACACTTAATTCTCATCAGTAGCCCATAAAATAGGTATTATTTCCACATTCAAATGTGGAGACTCCAGTTTATAAGTATTAACCAATTTAACTATCAAGATAAGACAATGAATTAAGTAGAATTATAATACAAACAGGATGTGAATGACTCAAAAATTCATGGTTTTACTCCCTGTACTTCTGTATACATCAGCTTTTCATGGAAATGGTCATAATATAGTATTCCATCTAGTTATGTGAAAATATATTTTTTAGTTACTTTGACTTGTCCGATGTCGTGTTCTCGGTGCTAATACTTCATATTCCTAAGATCTCTATTTTGATTTTTCTCCAGTTTTAAAGAAATAACTGTGCGTATTTTTTAAAGAAACTTTTATTTTGAAATGCATTTATTTTTAAGAAGTCAAAATGTGCTTCTATTGCCTTTCCTGGAAATGCCCCGTTTTAGTGGGAGACGTGGGTAATGGGATTCAGCGACTCACTTAGGAAGCTGCTTGACAGTTTC